GAACATGCTTCGATGCACTGCTTTCTACTTCAAGCGAAGGCAATGGCCGACTTGGAAAAGTGGCTGTCGCTAGCTTTTTGCAGAGATGCTCGCAGGTAGGAATATACTCACTACCATTTATCAAACAATTTACATAGCTGTTGTAGGTAATAAATGATTTTGTTCGTGATTGGAATGGGACTGGTGACCTACGACTCCCGCATGGAAGAATAGCTGAAATCACTTCTGCGCTACAGGCAATGGACTCGCTTATTGGACGCCTTGCTAGCTTGGTATATTTTTTAGCTGATTCATTTTTCAATTTAGCATCCTAATTTTTCATAGTTATGAGCTATCATAGCTTATGTTTATGTAATTATTGTAATTGATATTGTCCTTAAAATTTGCTTGTGAAAAAAAATTTGAAACATTCAGTATTCATGGGAAAGAAGAAGCAGGCTATGGAATATTTTTGAATGTCATCTGCTTTTATGAGGATCTACAATTCTGAAACTTTCTGGTCAGGACCTTCTTGTGAGTAATGTACCATCCGTTTCTTTGTAGTTGGTGGCGGCTGGAGGGCAGGGCTTCAACCGATTAGAGAGCATCTAAGCGTGGGAGATGCAGGCTCTGCTTCACCCTCACATACGTGCTCTCTAATCGAACGAAGCCCCGCCCTCCAGTCGCCAATTCCAGTGAAACAGGGGGTACGTTATTTTCTGTTTTCATCGCGAAGCTTTGAATAGCATAGCGTTTCATGAACATTTCCGACTAATAAAATATAGTGTTGTAATCTGTTTTCTCCACTGAAATTCATGATTTTGCTCTTCAGAGAACCGACACAGTCAGAGCTGTACTCACAGCTAGTGTCTCTATATCCCAGCGTTGTGAACGTTTCACCCTGCACACGTTCAGATCCAGGGCTGGAAACTCAGTTGATCGCTACCTTCAAATCATATCAGACCTTGTTTCTACTGGGGGTAGTTCCTAATCTTGCTAGAGAAGGCTAGCCTTAATTTGTTGACTCTTATCTGTTTGCATATTTATTTTTTCGACATTTCGACAGTCAGGCTGTGTAGCCAAAATCAAAGTGATTAGTATCTGAGGTGAAGAGACCTTTCTTATATTTCCGTCTGTGATGCAATGATTTATGATTGCTATAAAATATCATTTATGCATGTAAGTGTGTTATCGGAGTCGCCAAACCCGAGTATGATGCCGGTGCTTGTCGATGATTTCGATATGTGATTTTCTTCCTTATCACAGAGTTGCTTACTGTATACCAAACTTACTAGCGCCCGCCTTGCTTGAATCCCTCAAACTGTCCCATATTTGCGCTTTTATCTTCTTGCTGTCAAATAATGTTGTGAATGAATGTTGGAATGAAATGTTGTATTGAAATGTTTCGTTGGGAATGTTATTTGCTCAAAATGAATTCATAATGGCTTGAAGATGTCATGGAAGTTTACCATCTCCCCTGATTCATCATTCCTCCAGGATGATAATGAAACGTGATGGGAAGAGTGCTTGTCATTTCGGGACAAATCGTTAAAGGTACGTCAATCTAGGCGTAAAATGCAGAACTGTGGAAATTGATGAAATATTCAATTAAAGGGAGACCCAGCAGTTTTCAGGAAGCTATATAATCGTCGATCTATTGAGAAAACGTGAAGTGTAAGTGTATTCCAAAACTGTTCTATAAAGCTCATGTAACAAAAAACATTCTTTTGCGCGTTCAGAACAGCAGTGGCTGAAATT